TCTGGACCTATTGTATCTTCAAGAGGGTTCCAGTGAGCACTGAGTTCACAAAATACTAAGTTTCGCCCTAAGCTCCTGTCTTTTTCTGGGCCCAATTATACGATAGAGCAACTTCCCGCTCATATATCAACTTCCAGCTTTGTTTTACATAGTCTCTTGGTATTCTCTACCAGGGAAACCCTGAAAAAGGTCGCCATAAGTCAGAGGTGACTTTGCAGGTCATTGCTGTCCTTGCTGTCCTTGTCGTTGTTACCGTCCCTTTACCAGTTGAAACAACCTTACCTGCAAGGCTTCAAAAATCTAAGAGCTTAAATAAATTGAGCTTATATATTTTAATTGCATTTTAATTGTTCTAAATTTTTATTGTATTTTAAATGTTGTAAGCCGCCCAGAGACCTTTGGGTAGTGTGGGCGGCATATAAATTGAATAAATAAATAAATAAATTGGGGCGGAGGGGATTTAATAGAAAGCTCAATTGTTCCAGCAGAGTTTGTAACTTCAGAGGGTTTTTTTTTTTTTACTTAATATCTGGCACGCTGCCAATTTACGTATTGTTTTTGACTAGGTCTTCTGCAAAGCCTACAGCTGGGGGGGGGGAGAGATCCAAAAAACCCTACATGTTTATACGACCAAAGTATTTCAAGATAACATCACTGGACATATAAAGAGTGCCAAATATCAGACCTGCATACATCACCTCTAAGTTGTAACAGAACATCACTCGGCTATCAGAATCTTATAGCAGAGGGACGTTGTTCGGTTTGAGAACCACCCAACGGTTTCAATTGCCTATAGCAAACTATTTCAAAGCCACACTTTTAGACACACATTCATTTTCAGTGCTGCTTTGCCTATCCTCCCTTAATTATTTCAATACAAAAATTTAAACCATGACAGGGTGAAGAAGCAATTAAGAAGACCGCTAAAGACCAAATGGAGGAAAGCTCCCTCAGAATGCCACCTGGCGTCAGTCAGGGAAAAGTCCAGCAAATATTGCAATTTACTTAAGGCAGCAAAAAGAGGCTGTAACAACCAAATTGATTAACAGGGCTTCCAATCAACAAACGGCACTCTTTCGAGTTGTCTGCACTCATAAATTCTGAACAGATGCAAATATTACAACAAAATATAGAGAATTGCAACTGACCGGTAGGTAGCCCATTTCAAATCCAAGATTGAATGCATCTGTCAGGACCTTGACTCCTTACTTAGTCCAGCAGATCAGACTGAGATCTCCAATACACTATCCAGTAAGACTTTACTGGATCAGCTTCAAGTTGTAAGGCCTGAAGGTGTTACACTACTGTCTCTTGTTCAGATCTTTGGCCACCTTGGCTACTAAAATCTGCCAAGAATACAGCAGCAGAATGGCCACCCATGTCATTTAAACAGGAAGGTCGTACATCCTTCTGTTTAAAAGAAACTATAACAAGGCCCATTCTTAAGAAAACTAAATTGGCGATGGATGACCTAAACAACTACAGATGTGTCGCATGGTGACCTCTGCATTGGGCTCCCACAAGGATTGACCACCACACCAATGCTCTTTAAAATCTATATAAAGCTGCTGGGAGATGTCACATGGAGGTCTGGAGGTCACTGTCACCAGCACCCTGATGATACACAGCTCTATCTCTCCTTCACTTCATCTTCCAGGGATGCTGTATAGGCCCTTGAGTGATGTCTAGTATCGATAATGGACTGGACTAAAGTCAGCAAACGAAATCTAGAATAGATGGAGATCCTACCGTTAGGAGGATCATCGGATGAGTTAGAGGGAAATTTACCTGGCGTTGATGGAGTTATACTCCTCCTGAAGGATCGGGTCTACATCTTGGGGGTATTCATGGATGTGGCCAGGAGGGCCTTTTATCAACTCTGGTGGATTGCCCAATTGTGCCCCTATCTGGACCAACCAACTCTGCAGAAAAATGATCCAAACCCTCTCTATGTTGGAACATGCTCAGGAATGGAATTGGGTTGTGGCTTATTTGCTGTTTGCCTATCATGATGCCCCCTAGGGAAGCCTCCCTGGAGTTCATTCTTGGGCACAATGTGAGAGGCCCTTTACGTTCGCTTAAGAAGCACTGGGAGGGCAAAATTGCTAAGAGCCCGAGTCCTGTTGCCATATTTGTGAGCCCATCAAGTGTCAAAGCATGGTGCATGCCCCAGAATAAGAAGCAAGCCATGTCCTGCTTGGCCCTGGCTGGGTAATACTGGAAGCTTATTTTCTACTTTAAGACCATTGCAACACCTCTAACGGATTTGTGCAGAAAGTGCATGCCAGTGAAAGTTCGGCTTACAGAGACTTGCCAACAGACGTTGGACACCCTAAAGGCTAAGTTGCTGGAATCTCCTCTTTTAATGGCTCCAGATTTTGATCTGTTCTTTGTTCTGTAGAAAGATGCAAGTGAGTTTAGCCTAGGGGCTGTGTTGTTACAGACAGGCTCTGATGGAAGCCTTCATCAGCAGGAAGCTCTTCTACCCAGAAAGAGAGAGAGAAATTATTCCATGGTAAAGGAGGAGCGCCTGGCTGTTATATGGTCCATGTCTAAGTTATGACCTTCCTGAAGGATGTTTTCACTGCAAACAGATCGTACACCTTTGGTCTGGCTCAACCATATGAGGAATCACGATCAGCATTTGTTCAGAGGGAGTGTTTGTGTATAGGATTTCAACTTTGAGGTTCAGTTCATCAGAGGCTATGAGAAGCTGGGGGTAGACAGGTTGTGTAGAAAGAATTTCGGAGAAGCATGACTTATGGGAGGTTGAAAATGGCACTGCTGTTGCTAAATTGTCAGAAAGTGAATCTCTGCTGTATTGTGCGTGTTCTCATCCCAACTTTAGATTCTCTGTGCCTTTAAATGAGTAAAGGCTTTTTAAATGTTCTCTTCACATGCTCTGTGCTGCTATTTTTTCTTAATCTACCTCAGTTTGTTTAGAATAGTCAGCTTGTTAGTTTGTCTAGCTAGAGTAGGAATTCACCTGGGGAATGCAGGTCTTTACATGTTGCTTCAATAAGTGTATTGGTTTTAGGTCTTAGCGTAAATAATTATTTAAAGGTATTTTGCTTTCTTTTAAATTACCATTGTAGCCTTATGTTTGCTTGCTCTAGATGTTGCATGGGCTTGCTGACACCATCCAACAGCTCAGGAAAGGACAGAATGTCACAAGACTGGTAAATGGGGGAATCTCGGCTTCTGCTACCCTTCTGGAAAACAGGTCTTGTAGTTTCTGCCTAGAACAAGCTGACCGAGAGAAAGGGAATTTGCACACTGGTAATTGGAAGGCTGCAACCATTTGTGCCTTATCTCTGTAAAAACAGAAACTCCAAGCCCAGACTGAGTGCTCTCCTTAGTACTGAATTAATTAGCAGAATGGTTTCATCTGAATGAAAGGGGGGAGGAGAAGTTACTCTCTTTGCAAAGGTTCTAGGCCAGTGGTCAGGGAACAGGGGTAAATTATCCCAAATGGGTTAAAAATGAAAATCCTGGGGGTAAGGGGGATGGTCGCTGCAGGCATTTTACCCCCAGGCATTTTATTTCCAACGATGCTGTATGTGGGCACTCCGTTGCGGGGAGAGTGAGCCCTGGCGAGGAACTGCACTGGGCACCTGCCTGTCCTCCTCACCTCCAAAGTGTGTGTGGGGGGGGGAGAGGGCAGTGGACCAGGCCAGCTGGAGTCTTTACCCAGTGGAGCCCTGGCTGGGGCTCTCCTTCCTGCCTGCACCCACCTGCCCGGTGCACTGGCAAGGAGGTCCCCTTCCCACCCCGCCTCCCCTGAGCTCATTGCCAGTGGATCTGCCAGCCCTGCGGTGCCCGCCTCCCCTCTCCAAGGATGCGCTTTCCCAGCGGTGTGGCAGCTCCAGACTGGCTGCCTGGACGGTAGCCACAGGTCCGGGGTGAGTGCAGGAGGGGTGGGGGTCGGCCGTGGATGGCAAGAGCCAAGGGGGGGGGTAATGTCTACATAAATAATTTTTGGGGGTGGGGGTAAAAAGTAAAAACGTTCCCTGACACCTGTTCTAGGCACTCTGACAGCTGAATGGTGGCTCTCCTGGAAGGGTCTAGAAGCTGGAATTTTGCATATAAAACTGAGGACATAAGTTACTTCATTTAGCCTAGTTATCTTTCAGCAGAATGCTATGTTTATGTGCTGCCCTGCTGTATGACTTGCAACCCACATAGGCTTTGGAGCTATGCAGAAGCTACGCCAGGATGCTTGGCTTAGGTTGGCCAAGTTTTTTATTTTCTTGTGGGACTCTTCTAAAACTGTTCTTGCCTCATCTTTTTGATTGCTTATTTGCTCCACGACATTTTAACTGTTTCTGTAACTTTTGAAACTGTTTTGAAGTTTTGCTCTTTTGGCTTTTTTCATCACCTTTAAAATCTGACAAACTGGTCATTTTGGGGTAAGAAGGTTGATGGGTACTTAAAACCAGGTCTTGCCTCAACTATCTACTAGAAGTCTATGCATTTTGTGACAATTTTTGGGAATCCTAATTTACAGGACTGGCATAAGCATTAAAGCACTTAACCTTGTGGATTTCCGCTAACTCTCTGGAAGCACTGTTTAGTCAGAGAAGAACTGTAATGAGGAAAAGGTACCAGGCAGGGAGATCTTCCCCAGCTATCAATCAACACATTTAGTCCTCTTGCATTTCACCCACACCAGGAAAGTCAGGGCAGTGTGGCTAACTAAGAAGTGTGGGTTTTTCTGCCTCAACATAATCCTGACAGTTTGATCCAAAAAGAATCCTAGCTTTTGATTTCAGCTGGTCTACCGTAAGTATGACTGAGTCTAGTTCAAACCCATGATTTGTAGACATTCTGGTTGCTAGTTCTAAGCGACAGTGAACAGAATACAAAACAGATCTGGGAAGGGAATGCTCAGTAAGGGGGGAAAAATTGAAGAGCTGTCACCTTCGATATATTTATGTTTCCATTTATTCCACTTAGGTTTAGTCATTCTACAGCAAACAAATTATTTCAGAATCTCTTACCTGTATTTTTATTGGCCACGTGAAGTTGCTCACGTAGACGAAGAAAGTGATATTTGGGTTGTTGCGGAAGTCAAATTTCTCATTAGAAAAGCTATCCTTGTACTCTTTGATCTGGCTCTTTGAAACCACCGGAATCTCCTCCCCTGCCTGCGTCCCAGCTGTGAGCATTTGAAAAGAAGAAAAGGGGGAAATAAGTGTGGCATAGGGGTTAAGCCTCTCCAGCAGGGCCTGGGGAGGCGCGGACGCAAAGCATCCCCCGGCCATGAAGCTTACAGGTGACCTGACGGCAATCCCATCCTCTGAAACTAATCAAGCACACGGGGCGCTTGGGAGCACGAAACCGAAGAAGGGAAATCTATTTATTCCCCTCCCACCCCCCGTGCGACTTGGCGGAGAGGCAGAATGTAAATGTCAGGAAATGAACCGTCTGCCTTTCGCACAAATCCCCCGTGATATTCCGAAGGGTACTCTTATTCTTTTAATTACAGAGTGAGATTCATTGATAATAAAATTGAATGGTGCCATTTAAACAAAGCAACGCAGAGTTCAGTTACGCCGCTGCTAACGGCAAACACCCAAATGGCCATTATATAAAAAGTTAACATGCTGGCAGCTGATACGTGCCTTTAAGAGGCAGAAGTCGGATCAATGGTATTCTACTTTGTTTCTGAGACCACCTTTGTACGATAATATCGAATGAATGCCTGAACAGATACTTCTACGGAACTCAGCAAGCTACTAAATCCATAAGCTGCCCACAGAGTGTCTGCATATCAATGGAGTCCGTACTGGAGCAGGCTGCTTTGTCTTCTGTGAACATCACCCTGACCTTGGCTGAGCTGCTCTGTGGTCACAGGAATGGTACAAGCAGTGCACCAAACTATGTGTGAAAGATGAGAAACATGATGGCAGAAGATCCAGGGGCAGAAAAGTGGAAAATAAAGGAAGGAGAAAACAGTATGCAGTAGATTGAGGGGCAGGAACCAGGAGGCAGAGAAAAGGCATGAAGGAAGACAGCTAGACAAATAGGAAAGAAGGGGCCCAGGAAGGAAACATTTGAAATGGGAAGGAAAGAGGTCAGAGGAATGGAAAAGTGCCAGCACGACTGAAATGTTGATGTCACAAGCAAGGAAAAAGATGGGGGATGCAGCTGAAGTAGTTATGTATTTAGTGGCTGCTCTCTGGTTAAATCTACCACCATTCCTAGCTCGATACGTCTAGCTCAGACTCTGGGCATCTGGAGTTGGGGAGGGGGATTTTTTCTCACCTGCAAAACTCGTCGACCAAGTGATGTTGAGGTTGAAGTTTTTAGAAGCATTGATGAACATGTCCAGGTCTCGGTTTTGCTGATTCCAAAAGACGAAGAAAGGAAACTCGGTTAGCAGCTTAAACGCACAGCAGGTTCCGTTATTAAACTCTTTGTCAACATTTTTTTTTGAAGAAAAACAAAAGCATGGCAAGATCTGTAAAGGCAAGATCCAGCCTTACCTCTTCTGTGCTAAAACAGATCAGCAGCCAGCTTCAGTTTGTGACATTTCACACTTTTTTATTGCAGTTAAAAAATAAAACAGGATCCAATGTTCTACAACTTTCCTGACTCAAACGAAGTCGGTGCTGGCAAACGGGGAAAGGTTCTGAGCTGCACAGAATGCTTCTTTTAAAAGGGAGCGAGAGGGAAAGGCAAAATGAAAAGAGAGCAAAGAAAAGGCCTATGTTAGCTCCTGCTTGTCTGTGGCCTTTGGATTCTCATGTCTGGGGTTTTAACATAATATCCTAAGGAATCTCTGGGTCCCACTAGGTTCAGCCTTCCTTCAACTTGGTTTGCAAAGGGAAGTGCACAATCTGAACCAGCCGCAGGCCGGAAGCTAAACCCAAGATACCCAGTGTCGGAAAGGGGGAAAAGGAAGGGTCACAGTCACATCACAGTCTGACTGGCACTTGCAGCATCCAGCTGAACATTAGAGAACCGGAATGACAGATATCGGTTGTTACAGCTAGCAATGGAGCCAGCCACCCAAATGGAGCTTTCAGTGAAGTACTGCAACACAGGGCCAAATTTTACTCTAGTCCAGAGACAGACAGCTTCGGCACATCTGGAAGCCGTATTTTTGCCTCCATCAGCAACCACAAGCTGCAACAGGCTCCCAAGTAGCCCCCAAATGGACAGAAAGCAAAATCTTGAAAAAAAACACACAAAACGGGGAGTGCTTGTTCAACCTCCTCCCATCTCAACCGTTTGATGTTCCAGATGCAAAACCCACAAGCTCTCAAGGGGCTCTGGGGTGGCCAGAAGTGGCTCGTGGGTCGCACTTTGCCCATCTCATGTTAGCCTTTTCTTAAAGACAGAACCTCCTAAACTGCCCCCCTCCCCAATCTGCCTTTTCATCTCTTCCTACCATGGGCCAAAAGAGGGCTCATCCAATGTCTGGACGCCTACCCAAACACATGGATAGCAAACAGCCTCCGTGGGATTTGTCAGCAACTCTTTCAGATCTTCCCAACCCAGAATTGACAGAATAAACATAGCTGAACTTAAATCAGTTACTTTTAGGGCAATGAAGGTGTAACTAAGGGTAAAGGTAAAGGTTCCCCTTGACATTCAGTCCAGCCGTGTCCGACTCTAGGGCGTGGTGCTCATTCCCGTCTCTAAGCCATAGAGCCAGCATTAGTTCAAAGACAGTTTCCATGGTCACGTGGCCAGCACGACTAGTTACGGAACGCCGTGACCTTCCCACCATGGTGGTACCTATTTATCTACTCGCATTTTTACATGCTTTCGAACTGCTAGGTTGGCAGGAGCTGGGACAAGCGAAAGGGGCTCACTCCGTCGCGTGGATTCGCTATTACGACGGCTGGTCTTTGACCTTACAGCACAGCGGCTTCTGCGGTTTAACCCACAGTGCCACCACGTCCCTGTAACTAAACTACACTGCAAAAGCAACGCAACAAATGGCCATGAAACTACCTTTTTGTTGCAACAAGCAACACTTCCAACTACTGAAAAAAATTATTTCAAGGATGCTTTAAGCTTAATGTATTCTATTTAAGCTATTTTACAAGCAACCTGGCAGGAATTGTCCAAGTTTTATGCCATTCTCTAATAATGTGAAGACCATCACTGTTCTCATTTCCGCGTTCAGCTATGTTTTCAAGCTGCAATATTCAGAACAGGCCCGGTTTTTTTCCGGAGGCACAATGAGATAATTTTTATAAATGAAACAATGATCATCACCACCTGCCTGCCCCAAAATTATAAATAATGTAATTCTTTAACATTCCACACGCCTGGTCAGACAGGAAAGTGCAAGAAAGTTCACACAGGAATGTATAAGTTCTTAGTACAACTGTTATGTCTCTTGAATTCTCAAGTTATGGCTATGTACATAATTTTGGACAGATTTCATGCATTACTGTATAAATGATATAACAGGACAGAAAATAGGTTCACCTCCCCAAATTTTACTTCTAGACTATAATAAAGTTGTTCACCCAGCAGGTTTATAATCAGTTGTTTATTCACTGCTGCAATTATTTTGCATGTTTTATTAAATACTGCAAGACAAGTTTTTTCTTGTAAGTAGAAATTTCTGTATTGTGCATCTGTTTTGAATGGATATGAGCAAGGAGGGGGCCATAACATAGTTAATTAAATCTATATACTATAAACTGGGTTAAAGAAGGATGTACAATTAAAAGGTTTTTAGACCATTTATATCTGTGAAGCACCGGAGTACGAATTTTTATGACGATGCACATCTTGTGCATTACTTTTTCTTGTATATATATTTTTCTTTTATTCTATTTATATCCCGCCTATCTGGTCTTGCGACCACTCTTTTGTGGTGGCAGGTCTGTATAAATACCTTATTGATATCATGGAAATTAATGCTGACATGCTTGTGGGTACTAAAAGGTATTTATCTAAAGCAGCTACTACAAAGCAACCCAACAATGACTGTCAGACGTGAATAACACATCAGGTGCAGAAGCCATTCCTCTCCAGCTGCCTTAAGGCCATCAACATTCCTCAAGATTGAGCTCCCCGTAAATAAAACCAGGACAGCCGCCCCCTGTCTCGGAGGGCAAACCGAGCACAAACCAACAAACCTTTAAAAAGCAGCTCTGTGGCGCTGATGCAAAAATAACCAACAACACCCCACCACTGTTGCATGCAATAGACAGGCTTCATGGAGCACAGAGTACCAAGGCACGTTAATAAGCAATGTGAAGTGCAGCCAAGAGCATTTACTAACCTCTTCAGGCGTTGCTACAAAATTGATTGCGGTATAATGGCGATCATCTTCTTGCGAGAGACTGAAGGTGAATTGATAGTCAATAAGAAGAGTATCTGTACAAGAGTATGAAAAACAGAGTTTAGGAAGTGCTTTGCTCCAAAGCCAGATCCTGAGGAAGGCTGGCGGGCCCCTACTGGCAGACGAGAAAAGATGGGGGTCCAGCAACACAATGGCCTATGTGCTCCAAGAAGGCACAAGGGAGCATAACTAAGTTTAGCAGGGCAGCATGACTGCCAGCCAGAGGGCCTCTGGGCCACATGCTATTATTATGCATGAGTCTAGAAAAGTAGACTCCAAACATCCCTCAGCCCATATGTCCAGTCCAAAAAACATCACTTGCCCAAGCTTTCTCTCATGGCCCTGTCAGCCTTGTTGGCTCAATATGGGGTAACAAGACTTACTGATCTACTCATTGATAATAACACTGATCGTATGACTGATAATATTGGCCAACCTTCTTGACTATGATGGGAATAACATAGACAAAGTCTTTTGAACTGATTGGCCTTATGGGTAAATCCTCAAGGTCGTTTTCAATCTTTTTTGCTTGTGCTGTGAAGCTCTTTTAGCTGGAACACACAAGATATTTGAGCTGAGAGGATGGAACCTGTTCATGGAATCCTTTTGGACTCCTCTCTTGTGGGTTTTCCAGCCCTGCAGGAACTCCTTCTGGCATCATCCATTCAACTTACCCAGTTAATTCTTGATTCAGTTTTTAGTTGCTGTTCTGCTTTTAGTTTTGTCTTTAAATGGTTTCTAATGTACTGTTTGATGGCTGTAAATTATTATAATTTTTATTGTTTATAAGAAAGATAAGATGCAAAGAAGCTCAAATAAATATTCAGAACACAGACTGATAATTTTGTTAGCACAGTTCTGTGGGTTTAATATGATTTTACTTTATCCTCAGGAGATGCCTTCATTCAATACATTCACCCTGTCAGGTCCTCCTGTATCTCTACTACCTACTCCCTTAACAGTGCCTCACATTTACCCTAAAATAGAGGACGCCAACCCCTGGTCCGTGGCCTGGTGCCGGTCCATAGCATGAGCTGGACCAGGCTGCAGAGACACACCTCCCACTCTCCCCCCGCATGCACACCCCTCCCCACAGCTGCTTTGTGCATGCGTGCTCACTCCGGTGCACCTGTACGAGCGGTGCTCTCTCCGGCGCACCTGTACGAGTGCAATGCCGTCGTCTGCACATGTGCACGATTGCCCATGCAACCGCGTGAGCGCCACACCACCGCTTGCGCATGTGCACAAGAGAGCACTCGTGAGCCCCCTGCTGCCGTTTGCACATGCGCACAAGTGCCCGCATGACCACCGTGCTGCCGTTCACACGTGTGCATGAGTGCACACATCTGCACAAGCACCGCACAGGCATTTGCGCATGCACGTGTGTGCACTCATTCACACATGCGCACAAGCACGGTGGTTGCCCCGCCTTCCCCAGCCGGTCCGTGGGGTGAAAAATGTTGGGGACCCCTGCCTTAAAAGATGTCTCCTGATGGGCAGGGTCTGGGGCCTTGCTTTTTTACCACACCCAGAAATGCTGGGCAGAATGTCATCTTGTACACACTAAGAACTGCAGAGCCGGAAGGGACCCTCTGGTTCATCGAGTTCACGCCCTTTCAGGGAGTCGCAACAGGGGAATCAAACTCCCCACCTCTCGCTCCACAGCCAGAGACCCTAAACCCCTGAGCTCTCCAGAAGTTCTGCGGAAGGCTTAGATATCCTACATAAAAACACCAGAAGGGGTCCTGGTCATTATTTTCACCCAAAGGCAAGAATCGCTATAAGGGGATTCCGAAGAACTCACTGCCACTAAACAGATCCATCTTCCCAAGCATGTCAGGACAACAGTTGCGGGAATGCCTAGGCAAAAAAAAAACAGAGCACTGCTCGCTGAGATATTAGGGCTGAACAGCCCTCAAATTCACTTCTTGACCGAAAACCATTGCCAGAAGCTTCCAACCACCTCTAAGGATTAAGATGGAAGCCCCCCACACCTGCAGCTCACAGCCCGGCACACCTTTCGTCCTCTGTTTCCCTGCCAGTGGCCTCTCTCCCTCCGGCAGGACGGGGCTGGGGGCCGATGGGATGTTGAGGCCCGCCTGTCCTCCCTGGCAAGAACCTCTTCCTCCGCCTGAGCCTTTCCTAGACCAGCCCATCCTCCCACCGTCCTCCTTCGGCACGGCTGCTTCCGCCCTTACGGCTTGCGAGCACCAGCTTGGTAGAAACCAGGGGCTCCCAACTCTGGGTCAGTCGCGTGTTCTTGGACTGCAATTCCCAGAAGGCTTCGCCACTGGTAGTACTGGCCAGGGGTTTTTTGGGGGGGGAGTTGCGGTCCAAGAACACTGGGATGACCCAAGGCTGTGAAACAGTGTGGTAGAAGATTCTCATTTGTAAGGAAGGCTGACCTACTGTTGCACAGGCCTCTTCAGATTAAAACTGAAACCACTCCAGTCCATAGCATCCCTTTCCTGCATAGGGTGCCACCTGCTTTGTTTCTGGTCTTCCCGACTCAGAAACACTCACTTTCCAAATGCCAAGGAGACAGGAGAGAAATTGTCCTTGGGGAAGAGATGGGAGGTGCCTGATAGGCCCAAACTCAAAAGTTAGCCGCTCCCACCCCCTGATTACAACCCCCAGCATGCCCCGGGCATCACATCCGGTGGCCCTGCTGTTCAGGGAATTCTGGGAGTTCTAATCCGAAAGGTAAAGTCTTCCAGCTCTCATCAGGCAGGTCTCCTTAAATTTTAAAAAAACAGGAAATATCCCATCTCCTTTAGGACATAGCAAACAGTGTCATGCCAGAAAGAACGGTTATAGCAGCTGCAGAAGTGGATATCCTGACAAAGAAGAGCTGCACNATTATTATTATTCCCACTGTATGTTGGGACAGAAAGTTCTCTCTTTAAAAACTTTTAAACACAACACTGAGCATCCCTCGCCCTTTGGGGGGAAAAAGCTACTTCAACCTACTTTCCTCCTTGCTCAGCAAGCAATATTCATTATTGTCTTTAAACTGCTCCTCTGAGGGATAAAAGCTTTTAGGTCTCAAAAGGCGTTGAGAAGAAAAAGGACCACTGTATGTTGGGACAGAAAGTTCTCTCTTTAAAAACTTTTAAACACAACACTGAGCATCCCTCGCCCTTTGGGGGGAAAAAGCTACTTCAACCTACTTTCCTCCTTGCTCAGCAAGCAATATTCATTATTGTCTTTAAACTGCTCCTCTGAGGGATAAAAGCTTTTAGGTCTCAAAAGGCGTTGAGAAGAAAAAGGAAAATGCAGGGTGCATGAACGGAAAACAGTAGGTTGCAATTGGCCATCTGAAATTCTGAGCTGCAGCCCATTTAGAAACCGTGGGTTTGAAAGCATCGTTTTGGATGTATATATTTAGAGAGGTGCGTCTCTGCATCAACACAACCCACTTCCCCCAGTTAAACATATACTATTCTATGCATGGCGTTTACAGCACAGAGATCTGAACAAATCTGGAGTCCCGGACACAAAGGAAGAACCACATCAATTCTGTGAGTGGAATACAGAAAGCAGAGATAGGGAAAGGAGTTGGCAAAACAAGTGCCTTTAGGGAACACAAGAACTGTACATAGCAGAAACGTAAAGATGGAGCAACACAACTAAAAAAGCATTCCAGAAGGTACGTAAATCCAGAATAAGCAGAAGGGAGAACATATTAATGAGACTTTTATATCCCTTTTTTCATCTATTGCAAGTTGTTTGATGTGCAAGCACTAGTTCTACACGCAGACAAAAGAAACATGGTTTACACTCACAGTAACATGTCCCTTTGAGAGGGTTGCCCTGGTATCGGTTTTCAACTTCGCACCTAGAAGAAACAGCATGAACAAGGTTAGCCTTTGGTCTTAATTTTCTCCGGAGGCGAAACTCCTCTAACGTTTTTGTTTTCTTTCAAATCACATCCCAGAGGAACCCGAAGACTGCTTCTTATGAAAAATAGAATGGGTCTCATCTAAAAGTTAACTAATGAGCTAACTAAAAGCACGGCACGGCAGCGGACCAGGATTCAGAAAATAGTAATGAAACAGAAGTCTGAAAAATGTGGGTCAGAACCTTGGCACTGATCTTAAAAACAACCTTTAAAAATCTACCAGCTTCCTGAGAACAAGCCGGAACAGAAGCCGTACATAAGGGACAGCTACAAATTTTTGATTCGCTATATGTTTCATATTTATAGGAAGAGCTCATAGTCAGAATGGTTGATATTTCAATAACATCAAAGTAACTTTTCTTGGTTATGAGAGATCGGGGTCGTAGATGTCTCCAATTCAATTAACTGGCTCCACACGACCAAGGGAACCAGGCTTGTGAGAAACCAACTGGCTGGCAACCTCTGGAGTGAGCGCGTTAAACTACTGTAAAGGATAACCATGCTAAAGAGCCACTAAAAGCTACCACTGGACAACATTTAGATAATTTGGAAACGAGTCATCTGCGCTTTATCTCTTTAAAAAATTAAATAAAATCCAGAGCTGTGATAAATGTTAACTACTTTTAATTTTGGAGTAGAACTAGTCATCACGGAGCAGCATAAATACAGTGGCATAATTATAGCACAGAGGCTAATTTTTATAATTAATTAAAAATCACAGCATAGTATTCCCTGAATATATAGACAACAAATGTTCCTCCCTCTCTCTCTCTGTCCCTTTGTTTGTTTGTTTGTTATCATTACTCCCAGGACATACACACATACACATACACTCTTTCTAAAATGTTTTTCAAACACCTCTCCCCAGCCCTAATCAGTTGGAACACACACACACAGAGACACACAGACACAGACAGACAGACACATACTCCTCTCTCTCTCTCTCTCTCTTTCTCTCTCTTTTAAAATGTTTTTCAAACACCTCTCCCCAGCCCTAATCAGCTGGAACAGGGTTACAGGGCCATAGTTCAAAGTGCTCACAGAACAGCCAGCAATAAATGCACTTATGCCCCAACACTACACAATCAGTCCAATTTGGTGACGGACTAATATCCCAATCTAAGCCTCTTATAGCATGAGCAATATTTCTTGAACTGGTCAAATTAGTATCCTAATGAGATTAATGAGGACAAACAGATTGTTCTCCCTCACACTGAGGAAGTGTAACTTCAAGTGTAACCCAGCCTCTGCCTTCTGATGATGCTCGGGGACCACCATCCACTTGCCCAAGGACACCCAGCTCTGCAACCTGGCGTGCTAAACTACTGAGATATACCCAATCCTCGCCCACGTTAAGAACCACTGTGCTAAACTACTCAGATATGCCCAATCACCGAAGGTATCGGTTGTTGTTGTTGTTTAGTCGTTAAGTCGTGTCCGACTCTTCGTGACCCCTGAAGGTATCAGTACTTCTGGCCTAATTTCAAGCCTAATACAGTGGTGCCTCGCATAGCGACGATAATCGGTGCAGCAAAAATCGCTGCAAAGCGATTTCGCCGCTATGCGATTTTAAAAAAGCCCATAGGAATGCATTGAAACCCCTTCAATGCGTTTCTATGGGCTTCAGATACACCTTTAAATGAAAATCCTCCATAGGGCGGCCATTTTTGCTGCCCGGTAAGCAAGGAATCTTTCCCATAAAACAGCGGGCGGCCATTTTTTTTACCCGGTGGCATTTTGGAACCGCCGATCAACTGTTAACAAAACCATTGCTTTGCGATGATAGGTAAGCGAAACAGGGTACCGATCATCGCAAAGCGATTTTTGCCCATTTAAAACACTGCAATGTGATCACTTTTGCGATTGCAAAATCTTCATCGCTATGCGATTTCGTCGTTAAATGGGGTGCCCATTAAGCAAGGCACCACTGTACTCAGTGACATAATTCTGCACCTCACTCTGATACTTTAACAGAGAAACTAGAGGATTCTGAATTCTACAACTGAAACAGTGACGTCCACGCTGGCTCAGGAATGTCATGAGAATGGCTGATGGTCGGATTCCAAAAGATCTCCTGGATGGAGAATGAGTGCAAGGAAATTGCCCCAGAGGGAGACCACAGCTGTGATACAAGGGGATCTGCAAGCGGGATCTGAAGGCCTTAGGAATGGACCTCAACACATGGGAAACCTTGACATCTAACCGTTCAGCCTGGAGGCAAGCGGGGCATCACGGCCTGTCCCAATTTGAAGAGACCCTTGTCCAGCAGGCCGAGGCCAAGAGGCTGTCCCGAAACCAGCAAAACCAGGGAGCTGGACAGGGGACACATTGTATTTGTCTTCCGTGTGGAAGGGACGGTCACTCTCAAATTGGCCTTCTCAGCGACACTAGACGCTGTTCCAAGTCCTCCACACAGAGCACGTGACCCTAGTCTTTCGAAACTGAAGGATGCCTACAGCTTACTATACTGCGTAGGTAACATTGCAGAAATTTAGATTAAGAGCGAGACCCAAAGAGATGTGCAGCCTGGCTTGCATGCCCCTCCTCAGCAATCCTTTTACAAACAGGGATCTTTGAAAGCAACATGTGGCTTTGCAGAATCAGACTGGCTTTCTCCTTTAAGTGGACATGACACAGCCAATCTTCGCTCGCACGCATTAAATCACAGAATCATAGCATAATGGAATTGGAAGGGGGACTATAAGGCCATCATGTCCAACCCCCTCCTTAATGTAGGAGTACAAATTAATGGATATCTGACAGAGGGTTGTCCCATTTTCTCTTGAAGGCCTCCAATACTGGAGCGCTCACCACCTCCTGAGGAAACTGGTTTCATTGTTTGTACTGCTTTAACAGTTAAGAAAGTTTTTCCTGAGATTTAGCCTAAATCTGGCTTCCTGGACCTTTGGCTCTTTATGTTGTCCTGCGTTCTGGGATGACCGAGAACAGATCCTGCCCGTCCTCTGTACCTTTCAAGAATTTCTCAATTTTTTCTTTCTCTAGCTCTGTCTCTCATGTGACCTAACCATTTTTAAAGATGTGGTGCTGGATGACCACTCACAGAATACTGGGGAATTCTGGAAAGGGTCTGAGTCCAAAATCACAAATCAGTGCACCTTGACTTTGCATCGCGCCCCAAACCAAAAGTGCCCCCTTTCGGGTTCACTTTGGACCATGGCAATCAAGCCCGCTTGACCTTCTGAACACTCACAGTTGACACTCTTCTCCTTTGATTCCTTTGGTGGTGCAGAAACACTTTCCGGTGTGTGCGTTGCACATAGAAGCATGGCCATTACACTTGCAAGCTGGAAGGCAAAAGCCATCCTCAGTTAAACAGGCACATACACAAATATGGAATACACATCCATTCAACAACTTGGGTTGACAGGGCAGGTGGTTTCTCCTTTTGGCCCATAAAAGGCAGTGCCATTGGCGACGGCACACAACGCTCCTTGTTTCATCCCATGTGAGATGCTTAGAAAACACATTCAATGGGAACTCCCAGCCCATACAGGTGGACGTTCTGGCTCACCATGAAGGATAAAACAAAGGGAGCCCAGCAGTGTATCCGCTCCTACCATCTCATTTCATAGAGGTTGAAAGCAGAATGGACAGCTGGAGCCAGTGATAGGAAAATGGAATAATCTGGTACTCGCCATATTATGATTTGAGCTGCCAATATTAAATAACACTGTGATCCATGCTTGAAGGAAATGTGTTTTTTCACTCAGACGCCTGAACCTTAAACATAGTTGCAGTTAAATACTGCTCATTCCAGAGCTGCATCAGTCCTTACACTCAACGTTTGCAACAGAAGAGAAAGTACGATTATATTCAGCACCAGGTTTGGGAGCACAGAGAGTAAAATCAGAAAAATGTTACATTAAAAAAAAGCAAAAACGCAGATAGGGAATCACATACTCTTGTTCAATTTACTGCAGTTGAAAAGGCCAGTTTTTCTTGGCACAGAAAAACTTTACCCCATTATGTCATGCACACATCCTCGGTCTTTGCTCCTTGCAGGTCAACTGGAACAATGAACAAGAAAATACATAATCGTTCCTAGCAGTGGGTCTGGAAAGAAGGGGAGGACACAACTTACGCTGACAGGTCCCTCCATTGGTGGGGTCTCCATAGTAACCAGAGATGCAGGTCTCACAATGCTTGCCCGCTGTCAGGTTCTCGCACTTCTCGCAGATGCTCTCATTGACGCATTTACTGTGCCCATTACATTGGCAGGCTGAAAAGACATTCGCCCCGTTATTTTCCTCGACGACTCATTTATTGCCAAAATTTCTCAGGACAAGCAACGAAACCCTTCAACTTGCTGAATCAGCATCTAGCAGTGGGACACTCCGGCAAATATAAATATCACTCCGGGGGAGTTATAGCCAGCATGTGGGAGATCCTGGCACCAAGCTCAAGCAGGCAAATATAAGGAACAAGCAATGAGGGACTACGATCTGATGTCTACCCTTGATGAGTAAACAGGACCTCAGCAAGTCAACACTAATGTAAGGGGCCATTAATTTGATGGTCCAAATCATGGATGTCATAGCGGCAAAATGAGGCTAATGCACGAGGGCCTGGTTGTGCATCAACCATGGTAAGCAGGATTTTGATGGTCCAAATCATGGATGTCATAGCTGCAAACTGAGGCTAATGCACAAGGGCCTGGTTGTGCATCAACCATGGCAAGCAGGATCGACGTTTGTATGTCAAAAAGTTCGTAAGTCGAAGTACAATTTCCCATTGAAATGCATGGGAATGGAATTAATCCGTTCCAGCATTTCAAAAGGCAAAAAAAGCCTTTCGTAAATGGCTCCAAGAATGGCTCCCTGCAAAAAGGTAGGGGGAAAGGGCATTTACAAACGGCTCCGTTGGCAAAAAAATGCCATTGACTTGCGAACGGAGCCTCGACCTTGTTCATAGTTTGAGCTAGGTTCGCAAGTTGATGCCAATTTTTGCCAACAGAGCTGTTCGTAAATCGAAAAGTCCGTATGTAGGGCCATTCGTAAGTTGAGGGTTGACTGTACATGGAAAAGCCTGACCAAGGGGTCTATGTTGGCTGGGAGGGGCAGGAAATTGGAATTTCCAGCCCTTTCCCCCTGCCTTTTTGCAGGGAGCCATTTACAAACAGCTCCGTTGGCAAAAAAATGCCATTGACTTGCGAACGGAGCCTCGACCCCGTTCGTAGGTTGAGCTAGGTTCGCAAGTCAATGCCAATTTTTGCCAACAGAGCTGTTCATAAATCGAAAAGTCCGTATGTAGGACCATTCGTAAGTCGAGGGTTGACTGTACATGGCAAAGCCTGACCAAGGGGTCTACGTTGGCTGGGACTAACCACTGGATTTAAAATTACCGCCCCTCTCCCCCCACCCCACCCTTTTCCTTTTATGCCATGTCTTTCAGCACAAAAAGAGGGCATGCCTTAATTTGTTATTGATCATAGGTAAGCTGCTCTGCAAGAGATTTTATAAACCTTTACCTTTACCTTTACCTTTCAGTACAAAAAGAGGGCCTGCCTTAATTTGTTATTGATCATAGTTAAGCTGATCTGCAAGAGATTTTATGACAGAAGAGTGGCATAAAAATGCTTTTAAAAAAGGACATTCTTGAGTCTCTCACTTAACATTCCTTGCTACTGCATAATAATTAAATGGAATGAGGGATCATCGCCACCATCCTCCACAAAGGAATCTCGATCCACTGAGTGTGGATTAAATCCATTACCTTGCCTTGAAAGCCCACCCGTGGCCACTTTTATGGGGTGAACAAGAAGAAAAACTTTAGGATTTCGGACAAAGCAAATCTGCAAAACATTCTTCCGCAACCTGCATTCTTGAATATATTACCTGGACAGTGAATGAAGGACCAGTTATATTTATTCTCTGCCAGGCACATGCTGGCGTCCAGAACAGGTTCCTGATAAAATTTTCCGGCTGGCAGTGCAGGTGGAGTTGGCTTTGGCAGCTTGACTGGACCTCTGGAAGAGCCTTCCATGCATTTCCCTTTGCCTGTATTACTGGGATCTGTACACCAGCCACAACCGGGTTGTTCCAGACAGTGACTGCATGTTAAGTACCCAGAACAATTTTCAGCTGTGCAGAAAAAAAGGGGGGAGGGGGAAGTGTCACAGATGAAACAATAAACTGAGAGCACTTTAAAGTTTGTGCATGCAGTCACACACCACAATTTGGCCACCTTGCCGCTTGCACACTTTCTGCTAGGGACAGGCCTTTCCTGTCTAACTCACAAAAGGCCAAAACGTAAAAATAGCTCTCTAATTGTAAAACTGAGCCTTGTGGCGTAGTGGTTAAAACGCTGTACT